CCCTTATAATGTGTAAATATTCCTAGATATATATAACTTAGTTCTTATTTGTACATTTTATCTTTTTTACTTTCTAAAATTGAGTTTTTGATGCGAAAATGTAATTTAGAAAATCTCTCATTGCAGATGTTTCTAGAAGTGTGATTTTGATCAGGAAGATCTTATTTTAGTGATCTACAAATAGAAAAACAGAGAGGAGAGTGCTTTTAAAATATGTCAAAACAGTCTGTCATAGTAATCTTCATATAAACACGCATCAGCTCAAGCAACAATTGTCATCTCCCTCTCCTTTGCAGCTGTAGCGCGGTTTTTCAAACACATTCTCCTTTTTTTTTTTCATTTTTGCATCAAAACCTGTAGTTCTAGTGAGATGACATTTGCACTTTCGCTTGTCTGCCATCATGGTGACTCGTCGAATTTGGGGTCCACTGATAATGGATTTTCATACTTGTTACGCTAGTCTTCAACTCTGATTGAACCTACTTAGATTCGATTAAACTAACCCATGTCAGCTTTTATGAAACTGATTTTAAGCTTAATCAATTCAGGGTTGGGGATTTGAGTCTGTTTGTTAAACCTGCTTTGTGAAACGGACACAATGTCACAAAGCTGTTCATTGGCTCCCTCTACTCAGCTTCTTGTTCATCCTAATTACTGCAATCATCTGAGCATCAGAATGTGTTGGAAGCAAATTCTTAATATGCTTATACGCTTAATACGTGCATCTCACATACATTGATCCCAAATGTCATACCACATCAGGTATCACTGGGGTAAAGAGTGTCGCTAAAAGTTATTAATTTCTGATTTAAAAAAAAAACATTTAATAAAGAATTATTATCCAAATAATGTTTTTTTTTTTAACCTATTGGAATTGCATTGTGAATCCAATTTCTTTAAATAAGCTAAAACCTAATCTGACCACATTTCAAACTCTTCAAGATAAACTTTAATTCTCGAGAATAAAATCCAAATAAACCTTGATGTTATTGCATGATTTCATTGAATGTGGTTTACAACCATGTTTTCCTTCTTTGTGTACATAGTTGCTTAGTTTAGTTTCTGTAGTTTAGGCATGACTTTTTAACTGAAATGTGTTTGACTTGGAGCTGAATGATCTTTTTTATAAAGTCTTATATTGAACAGAAGTTGTGGTGAATTTATTTCATATGGATGGATGGATGGATGGATGGATGGATGGATGGATGGATGGATGGATGGATGGACAGATTGGGCAATAAAAATATTAAAGTTAGTGGTTCTCCTTCAAGCCAGCATTTTATTAAACCTTTGTAAGGGCAAAAAGATAGTCTTGCCAATGTTCCTGTCTGTTCTGGTCACAGTCACAGGTTTTACCTAACTACTTAGACTTAGATTTAATTTTTGTTATTTTGTACACACAAGTGTATACAAAAAGAAATTTCGTTTAGTTCAGCTCTCTAGACTATTCCATTTCTTTTAAAGTGCAGCCTTGATAAAGGTAAGCAGCAGTGATAGAAAGACTGTGATGAAAGAAACTGTGGTGAAAAAAAAGTGATGTAAACATAGGACTGTATAGTTTTGTTTTTGTTTGTTTTTTTTAACTTAAGAAGCACAGAGAGGAATTCTCACAGACAATATGGAGAGTTTCTCACATATTTTCTCACAAACCAAAGCATTTTTTTATAACTTTGGGTCTAAAGGAGTCCAGCCATTTACCAAAACATCTAAAACTGAAAATCAGATTCTGAGGCGTCAGTAAGATGAGAACCGTGTTCAGCCATGTCTAGCACGTGCTCTGTTAGAGCAAATACTTTTAAAAGTA